GAAAGAGTGGAGAATTGTATACTTTGAATATTAATTTAAAATTCATTCAGAGCAGTCTAATGGTATCCTAAGCATAGTTTTTCATTTCCAGTTTTCCCTGTTCAGCCGAATCTGGAATCACAATGCTAAGTGGAAAGCAGAGTTATTTATTTTGGCACAATTTTCTGGAAGTCACAAAACCCAGTGGCCAGATGACAGAGAGACCTTTACTTGGGACATTACCTCTTCTTCTGAGTCATGATTTGTTGTTGCTTTCTGCCTCTGGACTGTTGTTTAAAGCTTGGAGATTGGACTTTCTTAGTTGATGAACCTCAGAGGGCGAACTCCCTCCCCTTAGTGCCAGCCAGAGGCGACTGGCCAGCTGAAACATCTATGTCTTTAGTCAGGCTTTGGTTCACTGCTGTAGAATTTCAACAGTTATTTAAGTCTCTGCTTGGAGGCTGACTTCCACCTTGATTCTTAGCAGTATTTATTCATACTTAATGGCATTTGTGGACTCTGCAGGAAAAACAGTTGAGTCTGTAATTTTCCAGTCCTAAAATACATGTTTTAAAATTATCTACATGATTTAGGAGAACACCCTGGAACTTTTCTAGGTCTGAAACAAGGCACAAAGGGTTGTAGCTCCTTGCTTAGAGGGTTGGCCCCCTCAATCACATTGAAAACTCATTTGGAATTAACACCATTCAGCATCTTTCAATCTGAGGAATGCTTTTAAAAACACCTATTTCATGTCAACTTTGCAAATTAGCCTCTAGGATTTTTTCAAGCAGGAACTCTGTAGGGTGAATTAAAATATATCACCTCTTTTCCTAAGAACCAGTTTTGATGAAACCTGCTTTCCTATGGGTTTGTATTTTAAACCGTGTGCCTGAGCACATTCCCAAAAGTATAATGAAAGGGATTTGTTTTTAATCATTTCTTTTTAAAAGGGAGCCCTGGTGAGGCTCTAGTTTGGAACTCCTTTCTCTTCCTGACTGTGTTTGTTCACAGAATTTTCAGGAGCAGAGTTATCTTAGTGACCTGGTCTCTCACAAGGTCTCTGTCAGACCTGGCTGAAATCAGCCACTGGAATCAAACGGGCCTGGGGACACAGATGTCACACTGCAGCCAGCAGGATCACATAGCCCAATTTCCTTAGGGAGCCATAGGGGAAATGCAAATTGAATGTTCATCTGGACCTTCAGTTGGCGTAAGGCAACACAGTCACAGACTTTGAGAAAGTAATTTTAGACCAGTGAATGTCTGTGCTAGTTATTCTTTTAGACAGTCCTGTAATGAATAAATCCTCTGCATGTTCCTCTTGATGAATATGTTTGTCATTCATGGCTTATCCTCTAGGCTGTGTAGGGCAACTTAAACTGAATTTGAA